CCTCATCTATTTTGGTTGGTGTCGGACAAGTCCAATAAATGCAAGTGTCGTTCATGCGTATGCGATAAAATGAAAGAATCAACGCCAATAACTCCAGCACGAAAGGCATACACTAGTATTACCCGTGGTAATAATGGGGCAAAGCGTAAAAGTAAATTAAGCAAAGTCCAAGGAACTATTGATTTTAGCAAGCTGGAGTTTATCAATTTCGAGAGGAAACAGGGTGTCACAATATATAGATGTGGTGAGGTCGTGTGGGTGGATGTTCTGAAGACGGGAGACAAAACATTAATACGGTTAGCCGAATCAACATCTAAGGAGATCGACATCAGATATTGGCCAGGGATCATATTAAAGCGTACGAGAACGCATCCATCCAATGAGCACGAAGATTCTACACCAAAAACTTCGGAGGATGATTTAAGTCTAATGGAGGTTGACACTCCTAATACAGAATATGGATTCATCGGTGAGGTTGGAGTGCCGGACGAGTCTTTTGTCGGTTCCGCGTCACCAGGCTCGCTCACAAAAATTAAGGAAAAGGACATTCTAACCTCGCAAAACAGCCCAGAGTTCGATAATTGTTATGTTTTAATCCCGACGACAAATTGCTCTCAAAATTCTTATCCTGTCAATGATGCTTCAAGGCTTAGTGAAGATGAATTTTTGGTGTCCGAGACTTTCTCGACGCAGGATACTCCTCTCGCATCGGCCACCAAAAAATTTGATTCACGTTATGAAAATAATAATAGTAATAATAATAGTAATAATAATAAGGTCATCTATCAGGTCGAATTATTTGAACTATCAGAGAAACTGGAACTAGATCGTGAGGCGCTTTCTCCGTGGCTAACTCGTCGACCGAACATTCTAAAGAGTCTTGATTCGGATTGTGATACAGGTAGGGTGTTAAATGAAAAAAAATGAGTGAGTTAAAGGAAAGAAGAAAAGAATTCATTTATTCATGAAATCATGTATAAATACAGATAACGAAAACGACGAATCGCTAGTAAGGAATTATGTTGACGCCGTTCGAAAAGCAACTTTATTATCTCGATCATACACAACCTTGAATGTTTATCAAGAAGACGTGATGGACTACAGTCAAATGATCGATATGCTAAGGCAAAACGAGAGAAGACGAGTGAAAGATAAGGTTATACGTTCCGAAGCCATCCTCTTTGGTAACGAATTGTTCTGCATTGAAGACATAATACGATTGACACCATGCGACATCGAGAATCCAACCTACGAGGATTACCCCGACCCGCAGTATATTTATCTGAAAGATATCTGTGAAACAAACAACGGTATACAACTCATCGGGGACGGATTAATTCGTAGAAGATTAGTCAATGAAAATGATGCACGATTTATTACGGATTACGAGTGGTACAGGATTAATTTCCCGGAAGAGGAGTACACAATAGATTTGGGAGAAGTGGCAGGTAGGTTTTACGTTGATTACCCCGATCTCGAAGAAATCATGGGATGCTCGCGTTCCATGACCCTCAAGGAACTGTGGGGAGGTCAGAGTTTCTATAGGACTATCATGAATACCATGAATGTTTCCCCGATCGTATAAATTAGCGTGTAACGTGACAAACTGTTGTCGATCTTACTAATAATTATATTGTGTCCGATATTAAATAAACGAGCATAATATAATTCTTGTGTTGAGAACGACATAATAATGTTATCTATAAAAAATTGGTATACTTATTAGAATTAGAGTGAAAACGACCTGTAAAATCAAAAAATTTTTAAGTAGCGTAAATCTAATAAAGTAACGGTATGTTCTATATGCCTTAACATTTCCTAATAATAATAAATATTTATCTGAATTCTGTAAAAGTTATAAATTGTCTCTATTAAATTTGACTTTAAATTTAACTATTCATTCAAGACTCAATTCAACAGATTGTATTGACTTATAAATTCGAATTAGATTATTAAAACTCAAATTTGAATCAAATTAATTACTCGAAATATTATGTGACAAGCCCAAAGGGAAGATTCCTATAGAAAGATTAAAATATTAATATTAGTACTGATAATCAAATATATTAACTCTCACCCCTTGATATCAATAAATAGATATATTATGATTTCCCACGTTATAAAGATTATTATATCCTCTCTTATCTGTAAACTATTGGGGCCAAATTGGTCTTAAATTGTGCATTTTCTTTTTATACATGTGTTCACTCCCCCAAATACAATAGTTACATTGCTTCATTTTACAAACTATCACTTTTAAACATTTTTAATAATACATTATCTCTTAATTCAGAGGGTAAATTAGATGAATACCTTGCAGCTTCACAAATACTATTTGAATCAGATCCTTTTGCATAGTTAAATATGAATAAGAAATGGTTTCCTGTTATAAGCAAGTTAGCACATATTTATCTTTCAGTTTCAGCTATATCTACACCATCTGAATGATTATTTTCAGATTGTGATAATTTGCTAAGTTCTAAGAGAACACACATGAGTTCTGAATTTTTTCAAATTCCTGATATTCCCAAAATAAAATCATAATATTTTAGATAGTATTTATCCTTCATAAACTACAAACTATAGTTGAAATAAATGTTAGAATTATGTTACATGTAAATATAAAATATTTTTATTTGGCCCAATTTAGGAGTTTTACAAGAGATTGGAATTTATAATGCAATTTAGCACAACTATATAATATATTCATTTATATTAAATCACGTTAACTTTTTAATAAATTAAAGAGGTGATCTGCAATAAACAATTCGGATAACTAGTAACAGTGTTGTATGCAAATGTTGTCCCGTCAATATTGTGCGAACACAGACAGTCCATGTATCGGACAATGTTCCATGCCCATAATAGTTTCACATGTCATATGGTTTATCGAACAACCTGATTTGCTAACACGGCTGTTCTTACAATAATTTTAATTATCCGGGATGTCCCGTCTCGAACTGTGTCTGTGTCCCATGACAACACTGACTAGTAATATAGGCAGTATGCGCAATGTACATTTGTTTTTTTATGAATTTTATTGAAATAAGTTAGCCGATACTTTTCTTAATAGTGCCTATTATTTTAGTTTCAGCATATAGAGCACATATGAAATTAATAGGTTGTGCTTATAATTTTTATAGATAATACTGTATATGCTTTATGTATATTAAAAGATTTGAATTTATAACCTGCGAAAACTGTTCAAGATTCATATTTTTGTATAATCCCTATAATTTTGTGTAAACTATACATATTGCAAACTATAGTTAATTACTGTAAACTATGCAAACTTTGCGAATCGAATCAATTCGTACAGACGCAAAATGCGATCTATATTATACAAATTTGAATAGTTCAGATCACTACTGTAGTATGATATAGTTAATACGGCCACTATTCGGATTGCAGATCAATCCATATACTGTAGATACCGATTTGATCTTATGTAGATTCGTATTATCCGAATTTGATTTTGTGTAATCTATATTATCCGGATCTAAATAATTCATTTCACTAGATTTAGGAGTTTCCATATCTGCTAATGAAGTCTGAGTCCGAAAATGATGGAATTTATAGGGTTTACTACCTGAAATTTTAAATTTAATTATACTTAATGAGTAAACATCAGACGCTTTTGTATATGAATTTCTATAGAAAATTATACATGGTAAACCTGTTTTTATGCAAGAATCTAAATTATAGTCCAATTTACAATTTCAATATTTCAATTACAAATATTTAATGGTTTGCGTTCACATATCTTTAAAAGCACAGATTTACGCTATGTAGATCTTATAAAAAGGGATACGCCTTATTTCACCGACACTCATTCAGTTGACACAGCATTTCACTAACAATCAATTCACCCGACATGTTATTTCATATACAGCTCATCTCACCGACAAGTTAATTCTCAAATTCCCCTAATCCTAATTCTAATGATAATAATATCGATAAAATGAGCTGTTGGCGAAATAAGTTGTCTACGAAATGAGCTTTTCTAGGAATTGGTTGTCTGTAAACAAACATGTCGGTGAATTGATCGTCAGTGAACTGTTGTGTCTACAAAACGAGTGTCGGTAAAATTAGCTGAACCGTATGAAAAGATGGAAAAAGAGCCAGAAAGGCAACCATCAATTACTGAAATTTATGAAATTTTTTATTAATGGCAAAGCAATGCAGATATTTTATTTGAATTATTCAAGTATGATAAGAAAATATAAAATATTATAGATGAACATATGACATATATCAAAACAAGTTATAAAAGCAAACATAATTTATATAATGGTAAATTTAAAATTATTAATAAAATTATAATTAATATTCAAATTTATATAACATTGGTTTATCTTTTTTATACAGTAGATAGTAAGCTGGATCCAGAGTACAGCCAACAAAATTTTGTGAACACGTGTACAGGATACATTTAAATCACAAGAGATGTTAAGTTATTATTAATAAAAATTTTTTGCAGTGAAAAATATTTGCGGCTATTATATTTATTTTTATTGGGATTTCAAAATTAATATCGAACATCTAATTTCGGTTGAAATAAGTAACTTTTTTTTAAGTTAAAAGTCTAATTTCAGCCTTAGTCAACTTTTATTTATCTAATCATTTTTACTAGCACATGTGGCTTTACTGCCATTAGTTAATGTGTTAAAAAAAAAGTATAATGTATCACATTAGATATAGTCAAAACATACAGTATATAACTAACCATGTGAAATTAAAAACCATCGAACCGAATATTTATTTATACCGCTAATTATAATTGGGTGTCACAATAATAAAAAATAAATTTTGCATTTATCTTTTAACCCCACATTACGTACGTTATTTATTAGAAATATCAAGCGTATCGCGCAATATTTACTCATGTGACTTACGTTTTGCGGCTATGATATCCCGGCAACTAAATCCTCTAATTCAATCAAATCGATTTATTAAACATATCCGAAAATGAGGATTTAATAATAAGAAAAGATTTGATAGTTTTAATAGCTTAAATAAATGAATTAGAGAAGTGGGATTAAGTCAAGAAAATGTAAAAGAAAATTTTGTTTATTAAAACAATTTATAATTGAAATTTAATATAAATAAAAGGGCCTAATTGCCCCGAGAAAACCAAGTCTCATTTACTTCATTGATTAATGAAAGTCCCAATTTTATTAAATAATTGCCTCTCATAATATTGCATTGATACTGACTTGCTAATACTCCATAAATCCTAAAGTTATAAATCGTTGTTCGTTTAACCTCTTGTTCACGTGACACCAACTTTCCAGACACTTGTGATCAAAGTAACCTGAGCCTTATCAAGCCCTCAGCCTAATCTAACACACCTCTTTCGAAAGGTTACTTACCCGTGGTTACGTGAGTTTTTGAATTGTTGAGCGACCGAGTCGCGGTCTTTTCTTTATCCACATTATGTCATAAATAATTGTTCATCTTTAAATTTCATATTTTATTATGAAAACCAGAAGGCATTACTTTCTTACAAAGTAAATTTTACATCTTTTTATAACAAATTTAATGTACCAAAGTAACATAAATAAGATGACAAAAATTAAGATAAAAAAATGTAACAATGATGATAAACAATAATGATAAAAACTAATGATAATTATAAAGATAATTATAAAGATAATAATCGAACCAAGAAGCATAACTGTTTTATTTGTATAAATCATCTAAAACATTATGATTATTCAATTGCTTTTTGCAGAATCGCTAGTTTATTATTCACATTACTTGAGCGGAATGATTTATTATCTGTTTCCAACAATTCCAAAAACTCAATACAATTCAAAACTTCATATTTTCCATAATGTGAGTTTGTTGTGAAAATATATATGTTTTCATACAATTTCACTTCTGGATAAATTTCTTTTTCTAGCTTTTCCCTATTCATATCAATAACCAGTAAAAGCAGAAAAAGTTTCCTAAAAATATTTCTTCTACAGCTTTAATTGTCTTAGATATATCACAAGCCATTGCGGTATAATTATTAATTACTGTATTCGAACTTTGCCTTTTTTAATATCTAGTTTTTCAATACTGTTACTATTGCTAGCAGAGCCAAAACAATGATCAGTCCAATTTAACTTCAATAGTAAACGTGATATGGTATCTAAGATCTATATCGGAGAATAATAAACAAAAGGAGAACCAAGCACGATGGCTTATATTATGAGTATATGCACGAGAGATCAGGTAATTTATCAATTTAAAGAATCCAACCACTATTAATTAATAACGATGGGTTTAATTTATTATTATAGGGTAGTGTTACGACTAATTGGGAAAACAATGCAAGCAGTTTAGCTCCAACTGTTAACTTTGTTAAGTAGAGGAAATTAATTAAAACATCAATGATATTTAGGTTTTAATGAAAGTAAGATCATCGTTAAACTTTATCATGCGAGTTTATTTATTAGGTCTTAATTCTGTCTCTCGTTTATTAAAAGTTCTACCCACGCTTTTATACATTTCAGTCAATGGGAAAGTATCAGAGAAGTTACGATTTTCAAATCCCAACAGTAGTTTAAGAAATTAATTTAACAATTAACACAAAGATTATACTAATGAATTTTTACAGGTAACAAAGAAAAAAAAAGAAAAACTAATAATAACCACTTGAGAATTCGATTCTTTTATCACTTTTTAAAGACACCGAAGTCTGACTTTATTCAAGTGAGAAAAGGCATTCCTTTCATATCTTAATTACAAAATGAAAAATACAACGAGTTTTCTTACAAAAAAAAAAAAAGACTAAGCAAACAAAATACGATTTTGTACACTACACAATAATAATAACAATACAAAAGGAAAACTTAGTGACTAAAAAAACTATAAAAAAAATAAGAAAAAATAAAATAAAATAAAATAAACATCAAGCAGTTCTGTCCTAACGCCACCCGCCCAGCTCATATAAACTTAAAACAGCACTACTTCTTCATTCCGCACTATATTTGACTTAACTTATCAACAGTAATCTCTTAATGCCCAATTTTCCAAAGATTTCCGCTACTATAAACTATATACAGTACATTGCACTAGCAGTATTACAACCAGCTAATACTTCATTCCAATTATCAGTAAATAAAACAGTTTGTTCACCGGTATCAGTATCAACTATTCTAAGATATACATCATAAGCAAATAACTTATTATCAAATGTAAGTAATTGGCGTGTTTTTTCCAAGCCATTGCAAAGAACTCTGTAGGTCCAATATTTTAAATTAAGTTTCCAAATTCTACCATAATCAGCCATTAAATAAGCATAATCACCAATTACAACTATAGATTGCGTAGTTTTCCAGGATTCATTTTGTACCTTTTTATAAGTGCCGTCAAGACGAATTTCCCAGATAGAATCTGGTAGTATAACATAAATACGATCATTGTAAGCAAAAATTCCTTTTGCCTTATCCCACCCACCGCCGGCTTCAGCCCATTTGAAAGTGGAATACGATGAGGTGTTAATCTTGTGAATGAATCCGTCAGGACGAATAGCGTAAATAAAGTTTCCATTAGTAGTAGCAGCTACAGTATTTGGCCATTCAGATATTACTTGAGTGTAAATTCCATCCGGATTAACCTCCCACGTGTGATATGCGAAAACTACAATTTTTTCGCCGTTTGGCGCCATAGCAGTTGATTGTCCCCAATCAGAAGAGATATGGCTTTTAGTCCAGCCCATAATTAATTTGAATTAAAGCGAAAGTGTAAATAAAATTATCAAGGATATGACTCGAATTTTCTAAGAGAATTCTTGAAAACATGACTATTTATAGCTCCAATTTTTTTTTTATACCGATACATATAGATTCCCTTTCCTGTTTTTTTCGTATCTAGTTTAATTACAGTACTATGCTCTTTATAAGAAAAAGACTTTATAAAATTGTGATGCATATTGGTGTGATACATATGGGTGTGGTTATATAATAATTTAACCTAATTTAACAATTTCAATAGAATTTCAGTGCAGCAGTGTAGTTTATATACAGTAATAATTTAATCTAATTTAGCATCTTCAATAAAAATTCAGTGTAACCTAATTTAACGTCTCAATAAAAATTTAGTGCAGCTTAAACAGATTTAAAGTATCATCTTCAATAAAAATCTTGAAGTCCTTCAACAAGGATGCTAACATTTCATGAACACGACAATGTAGTTGAAAAGCATTGTGTTGCGTATGCAGCTCTTCATACTATATTGTTCGCATGTTGCTGGCATATGCTGCTGCGTAATTTGCCAGTAGTCGGATTTTTCTAGAGACGGGTATCATGCGCATTTTTGCCCATCAAGAATTTACTGTATGCTTTGGTTAGGCCGCGTAATTTAGGCCAGGAAGCATAATGCCGGGTGGAATTAAGGGATAGGAATTTCAAAAGTTCCGAAAAATTCCGAAAGAAAATGAATGAACCTCAAAGACGATTAAAGTCGCGACCGAAATTCGAGAAACATATCGATATTTTTCGAAATGAAACAGAAAAAAGTGAATTATATCATGCGCATCTTATTATAAAAACATGTTTGTGTTGAGCATAAGTGAACTTCTTGGTCTGCGTTAACTCTCAAATGAGTAAAGTCTCGTTCAGGAACTTAAATATTAACAAAAAAAATGATACAACACAAATCAGTATAGTAATATACTGTATAAAGAGACGCGAGAATTTTGGACTCAATTTAGCCAATTTCGTTTCGCGTAACCGATGTATCACCAAAAGAGAAAGCACATTGTCGATCGTTTAACCAATCCCGATCCAGTACTTAAATGTGAGATGATCTTCATGTATTCTCCTTCATCGGTACGTACGCATATTTTTGGTGATGAGTCATGAATCTAATGAAAATCTCGATTCTACCCTGGAATGGGTGAATTTGATGGATGGTCTCATCATCGAAGACGCCTTTCGAAAAGAAAAAATCATTTTATATTCATACAGCGATTTCAAAGATCTGAAAGTAATCGGAGTCGGTTCTAACGGGAACGTGTGCAAAGCAACCATCCGCAGTTCTCGGAAAAACGTGGTCCTCAAACCCATCTCTTTAACAAAAGATTATTCTCATAAGGATTTGATAAATGAAGTATGATTTCTTATCAACGCGTTTTCAAGTGAGATCGATTCGCGAAGATTCTAAACAAATATTCTTCGGATTTTTACATTCTTCATATAGATAAAACGGTACCGACAGCTGGAACTTCACGGAAACATTTTGAAATTATACGGGATCACAAATCAGGGTAGCTTGACGTTTCAAGGGAATAGAAAAAAGCCTTGAGCTATAACAACTTACCGAAAAATTTTCTAGATCAAAGCTCACACACATATCTGGTCGTTTTTGAATACTCCGATGGCGGTTCTCTTCGTCAATTTTTGAAGGAAAACCATGAAACGATTAGCTGGCACACAAAATTACAACTCTCAAAACAGCTTGTCGGCGCATTAATGTGGCTGCATAGCAACGACATTGTTCACGGACATTTGGTATGTCACTGATTGCGACTTCTGTGAGCATTGACAATTATCCTTCACACTTTCTGACAGCTGACTTCCTTTAGAGTTCATCGAAAGTTCTTGTGTGCAAAGGAAAGATAAAACTAAATCCCTTTGGAATTGTCAGACGTACCAATGAATCAAGAGGGTTGATGGAAAAATTTATGGGCCCCGTCCAATATGCTGATCCTCGTTATCTGGAAATTTTTCAATCTATTGGTTGCAAGAAAAGTGTAGATATATATAGCCTCGGAATTATATTATGGGAAATCTCGAGCGCAAGAGAACCATATGAGTCAGAATCAAAGTCAACTTACAAGCTAATTGATGAAATTTGCAATGGCAAGAGAGAGACGATTCTTGATGAGGTTCCCAGAGAATATTCGAAGATCTTCCAAGGTATTACCACCACGAAATACTGTATATCGTATATATTGATATTGCTTACATAACATTATTTGTTCAATGCAGATTGTTGGCATTCTGATGAAAGACGTCGTCCAAACATTGAACAAATTTTTGAAGCACTTGACAATGTCGACACGAAAAGTAAAAGTAAACTCGGCGAGATCGTTGTTTCACATGATAAATCT